CTTCCATCGCTGAACATCACCAAGGCTCGCTAACCATTGTTGAACTGCTTTGGAGCTCGCCAAGCAGACCCTCGTCGAAGCTTGCAGAAGCTCTTCGACTTTTATTTTATGAACTTTTAATTTATGATTTATTTTAGTATATGAACTTTTAGTTATAGTTTAAATGTTTAATTTAACGATTTTTATTTGAGTGTCTAGTTAATTTTGATGTATGGATAAATAATAAATAATAAAAATATATTGAAATAAAAAACACATATTTCTACATAATCCAATTAATCAGCGGTTAATCCGATTAATCGTTAAGTGGTCTCGGACCGTGTGCATAACAAAAACCATATTTTTGAACAGTGAATACACTCATCTCTTTGCTTTCATCTATTGGAAGATGCATTGAAGATCAAATTCCGTCTTGAGAATGCTATGCATCTAGAGTTTTCGGTTGGCTTTCAACCACTTGATATTGCACCACTGAGGACCGATCTTCTCACCTCATGTACTTCTTTGTTAGATAACAGGCATATTTTCTTCTGTTTGCTTTCACTTATAAAAGGATGCATTAAGGATTAAAAATTCATCTGAGAATACTATACAGTATACATCTAGAATTTTGTTTTGGTTTTGACCATAAGTGGTCCATAAAGCAGATCTATTGGTCTTGGATGACAAGGCAAATACTGGTTACGAATATTATGCTTCAGGGCTTAAGCCATGCCAAACCCAGCAAGGCCTTGTGATTCCATAGTTTAATGATTGCGTATGGCCTTGAGGAGCATAGTTTGAAAGAAGAAACCCTATGATAGGTGTTCTTGAGTAGAGATGAGAAATATGTTTAGTCATAGGAGTTTTTTTCTGTGGGGGTGGGGGTGGGGTGTAGGAGTTGTATCTAGTAGATGCTAGGGGATCAGGATTAACCAACACTAATCCAAAGCAAACAATAAACAAGAGTTATGTTGTTTTTGCTCCTTGATTTGTGGAATGTAGTTCTGGATTCGTTTGGCTTTTACTAATTATATGCTACTTAAAGTAATCTTTTGAGATATTTTCTTTAAGAAATAGGAAAATGTTTTCAAATGAGTATTCACCAAGCAGTGTAGATAGCTGAGAAACTGGCATGCTAGGCAGCAGAAAGAGGGTGATGTATGAGAAAAACAAATGAAATTTATTTTACACGCAAATCTATATCAGTTTGATCTCAATGTTACTTTACACATATCTATCCTTCATGTATATTACATGTAGGTTGCCTTTTGTACTACTGCATACAAAATTCAGTATTAGTATGTGATATTTTTTTTATTTACAGTTTTATCTGATGTTGTGTACCTCATTTGTCATACCTTGGTAAAAATTATAACTACAACTCTATATATGTCTTCGTAGTTCTCAGAAGCCCGACTTAGGAGTTATGACTAATGCTTACAAGCTATTTCAATATTTAATTGTATTTTTGGTTTTTATCTTGATTCCAGTTAGTTCAGTTGTGATGCTACATTGGGAACCAACCATAACTTCTTGGATTGGGATGTAGAAGCTTATGATTTCTGCTCCAGTGCTCCCTTTCACATTGTAACATGAGTTCTATGTTAGTTTGACTTCATTGCTACTTCTGTTTCTCTATCCCTTCAATACAGTATCTTTTCCCTTCTTGCTTTCCTTTTTTTGCTTGTGGATAAGTAATGAATTTGACGCGAAATGGTATAAATTTGACATTCTTGTTGGGAGCTTTATTCAACTTCTTTTTTTAAAAGTAACTAGTTCTCTGAAGCCCAGTACTTAGGAGTTGATTCATTCTTGCACGTTTTTCAACTTCCATGAGTTCTTTCGGCTCTATGATTGTCTGTTGGTTTGTTGCGACACTGCTTTGGGTTTGCATGAACAAGGTTGCCAGAATTTCTATAATTGAGACGCAAGAACATCTCTCGGCTACCTCTCTGGATGAAATTCCCCTGGCTTTCATTGGCGTACTGTGCAACCTGTGCTGATGACACTGCTAAGTTGTACATCTTATTGCCTTTTTTAGTGCTTTTATGTAATTTTTAGTAGGAATGTCACTGTCACATTTTCAGTTGTAACCTGTTCTGCTTTGCATGTTTTGGCCAATCGCTGGTGTCATTGCTAATGGTCATCTGACAGTCTATTGTGGATTACCTTATATTTTTATGTCATGCTACTGCAGTAAATAATTGGTTAAATCATTTTGCCTCGCAGATGAAGTTCAGACCCCATTGATTTTGGAGAAAGGAGCTGCTGCAAACTTGCCAAGCAACGATGACAACATGGACAATCCTGCTGGAGAAGGAGCTAAATCTTTGAGAGAAAATGGAGAGGGGAGGAGCAATGGAATCACTGAAGCAAAATCTAACAGCAATGAAGATAGACTGCTGCCTATCGATAATATACCAACCAAATCTAGGTCCTTTTATTCTTACTCACAAATGATTCTTTGTTCGTACCGCTTCTTCCAGAAATGCTGTTTTATCTGACATTGATGAGCAGGAGTCAAAGCATAAGTCCTACTCGATCCATGAGCAAGAGCATAACTCCCAGAAGGAGCCAAAGCAAAAGCCCGAGTATGAGTCCCAAGAGGTCTATCAGCAGGAGCATGAGTCGAAGCCCGGCTAGAAGCATGAGCAAAAGCCCAGTAAAAAGTTGTCATAGAAGCATAAGCAGAAGCTCAGCTAGATCTCCGCCTCGAAGAAGTCCAGGTGTTAGCCAGAGCCCTGCAAGGGACAAGAGAAGGAGCGTAAGCAGGAGCTCTGCAAGGATTTACCGAAGAAGATCCATAAGCAGAAGCCCAATGATGGATGCTCGTAAAAGCATCAGCAGAAGCCCTATAAGGTCATCAAGAAGAAGCCCAAGTCGAAGCCCAATCAGGACTTGGTCACGAAGAAGCATCAGCAGAAGTCCAGTGGGTCGCCATGGTAGGAGTTTTTCCAGAAGCGCTTCTCCACGTGAGGTGCCCAAGCGAATTCAAAAGGGCCGTGGCTTTAGTCCGACATATTCTTTTGCCAGACGATACCGAACTCCTTCTCCAGACCGTTCTCCTGTTAGGTCTTATCGATATGGTGGAAGGACTGATCGTGATAGGTAGTTGGATAGGACATGTGGAACTTTAATTTTCTGTGTTGCTGTTGATTGCTGTTGTCTTTGTGCAATTATTCTCTCTCTCTGATTTCTTTGCTTGCAATTAGGTATCCGAGATATAGAAGCTTTTATGACAGGTCTCCCCCTAGGCGGTACAGGAGTCCTCCAAGCAGGTACCTTTATCTAGCGTTGCATTGTTTCCATAGTTTAACTCTGGACGGTTGATCTCTTATTACGTGAATTGCCCATTTTCTTGGGTTAAATTTTTTGTAGACTGTGATGAGTATGTGATCGATCCATAGTTTGAAAATCAATTTATTCGGTTATGTACTAGGGTGTATAATCTTTGTTTGGTTAATGACCTAGGTTACCTGACACTTCATCTTGTCTCCCGTATCCGTGTCTGTGTCGGACATTCCTTGGACACTTCCTGGGTATATATGTACATTTATGCAGACGTGCACAAGTATACAATACATGTTTTATACAATATATGTTTTAGTTTAAAGCACTCATGGTACACTTCTTGGATGTATGTCTTACACTTGACATCAAACTTCAGCAAATTGTTGGACTCGGATTGGGAACATTTCAGCCCATGTCATGTTCGTAAGTATGACTTTAAACGATGATTTGGATATCTAGTCCAAAAGTGAGTAGTTTTTCAATTTATAATCTACTCAATAAAAAAACATAAATAAGTTATATGGACTTCATTTCTCATAATATGTAATAAAAAAACAATATCAATGTCATATATATTATTAATTTGATACACACACATGTCCATGTATCCTACATTTTATAAATTTGTCATGTCCCTTATCCTCACATGTGTCCGCACCTGCACCTGTACCCTTTGCAACATGGTTAATGATAGGACTAGTTAGCTTGAATCTCCTTAGCAAGCCATGAGATGCGCCTCGTAATTTCGTGACTACTCATTGGACTCATATTTTATAGGTTCTTTTGCGACCTCCTACCTTACCTAGAGTGGAAGATCTACACAGTTTTCAGTGGTTTCATAGGTAGTGTTGGATCCAAGAATTCATATTAGTGGTTTCACAATATGCATAAAAGATGATATACTAATTTTCGTTGGTATATATTTAAGTTAATGGGTTCTTTATATAGGGTGGATTTATTTTAGGTTTGTTCCATTAATGGTTAATGGCCACTACTCAAGTAACCCAAACTACTAAATTCTTTAATGGTGTCACTTCGACTTCATATTGGGTCTTAGGTTAACGTTATGCTTGTCTACTTTTATGATTTTGGATGGTGTCACTTGACACCACCCTCCTGTACAATAGATCACCCCTGGTCATAGGGCACCACTCTATTGTCTACTTTGTAGATACTTTTTTTAATAAACTTTATAGATAACTTTATTTTACTTGAGCACCATTGAGATTAACATAATGTATTACATATGATAAAATTGTAAAATTGTCAATGTAGATTCCAAGTGCAATCATTATAAGTTATATGGGAATACCATTAGGAAAAAATCCTGGATCCGCCACCCATTGTTTATCTATCCATATGTATCAACTATTTGAGCCTTACGCTATTCATTATTCATTCCTTTGCTTGCATATTTTTCGGCTAAAATACCAAATTGGTATATTTATACGAACACTTTTGCCACTTTGGTATTTTTAAAAACTCCGGCGACAACAAGGCATTAATTCTCGTTCTTTTTGTCAATAAGACCATTTTCTCAAAATTCTGGCAAGAAAATGTTTTAACCCCCTTACCTCACAAAATTATTAAATGTGCCCCAAACTATCAAAAAAAAATTCATCCCCTCCCTCTCCCCCAAATTCATCCCCTCCCTCTCGCCCTCGACCTCATCGTCGACGTCCTCCTCCTCCTCCAGAGCTCCCCCCAAAACCCTACCCCGTGTGATTTAACTTCATCAGGTGCCTGAGAAATGCTTGAGGTAGTCATCTGCAAGCTTCTGACCTAAACAGACCTGAGCTTGAGTGGAGAGATGCATGTTATCTTCGTTGAGCAGTGATCCCTTTGCATTGACGCACACCACATTTGGCAGGTCTATTCCCAATCGAGCTGCTCTTATCTTCTCTATCAAGCGCTCTTCCCCTGATGCAATAGCAACCTACATTAACAATAACGAGTTTTCACCATAAAAAATCCTCACAAAAAAAAGTCACGCTGAGCTGAGCGTCATCTACCTGAATGGAAGGCAGAGAAGGCAAATTGAGGTCAGCTCTCACGTCTCCGATCAGCTTCTCCATTTTACCCCTGTAACCCTCCGTAGCTTCGTCCGATAGGGTGTCGCTCTCCCCTTGGAACCACAACACCCTCCTTATCTCCCCGGTCCCCTCTCCCGTCGCGCACCCGAGCCTCCTTCGCACTCATCGAACCTTCTCTCGTAGGCCCGACCCGTGGCCCACTCGTCATCGTCGTCCCCCACGGCGCAGGACGCAGCCCCACGGCGACGCATCTTCTCTCGGCTCGCCTACCTCGGTAAGCGCGTAGCGACTGGCGCATGCCGGGCCCAGGCCGGCAGCTTGAGGGGCGAGCGTCGGCCTGGAGGGGCTCGGGCGGCCGGCTCCCGCGCGCTCGGAGGGATGCGCAGGTGAAGGCGAGGTGAGGCGGAGGATGGAAGGGCTAGGGGGAGCTGCTGCAGAGGGGGACTAATGTTGTCGATCGCGTGCGGTCCCTCACGCCCCCGCGGTCGGACATGTTTCTTTGGCCGGAGAGGATGAATATCTGCTTCTTCTTCTTCTTTTCTTCGACCGCCTCCATTAATTGTTGTTTGATTCTTTTTCTCTTTTTTCTCCCTTTTCCTTTTTCTTAACTGCGATGATTCGTGTGGGTTTGTTGCGGAGAAATTTTGGATCTAATCGAGGGGGGGATAACAACACGTGGCCTGCAAGTTAGGTTCGGCTTCGAGGAGCCGAGAAAAGCAGCTGCTCATCTGTACTGGCCTGATTAACCCCTTTTTACTTCCTGGCAGAATAGTATGCATGTATATGTTGCCGGATGGAGGGGTGGGGGGAGCTCCGGAGGCCGGAGGAGGAGGAGGACGTCGACGATGATGAGGACGAGGGGGAGAGGGAGGGGATAAATTTTTTTTTGATAGTTTTGGACACATATTTAATAATTTTGGGAGGTAAGGGCTTAAGGGGGTTAAAACAAATTTTCTTGTCGGAATTTTGAAAAAAGAGTCTTATTGACAAAAAGGACGAGCATTAATGCCTTGTTGTCGTCGGAGTTTTTAAAAATACCAAACTGGCAAAAGTATTCGTATAAATATACCAATTTGGTATTTTAGCCCATCTTTTTCCTATAATTTCCTACACAAGCTACATATTTTTAAAAATGTCGCTTACAATTATCAAACACCATTATATTTTCATGTTCTCCATAGGTACAGAAGCAGGAGAAGCCGCACTCGAAGCATTTCACGCAGCCCCTTAACTTACCGTGGCCGTCGTAGTCCTCTTCGTAGTCGATCTCCTGTGGAGAAACGAAGGTCCCGCTCTGGGAGGCGCAGGTCTGTTTCCCCAAGCCAAAGCCTATCTGGGTCCCGCTCCCGGTCCCGATCCATTTCAAGATCCAGGTCGATATCTAGGTCTAGGTCTAGGTCATCTCTCGATACTCCCTCTCCAAAGCGCGTGAGCAAGGAGAAATCTTTGTCAAGATCACCTTCAAGTAGTTCTCATGGGAAGAAGGGCTTGGTTTCTTATGGTGATGCCTCTCCTGATTCTGCTGGGCAAAAGTAGGTTGGTGTTGTTGTAGAGCAAGCTCTGGTTGTTTTCGTGGTACTTTGATCTGCTGTATTGTTGCAGCGTGTGCACCTGGGTACATTAAGGATGCCTCTTTGTTTTAGTAGGCTGTGGGTTGACTATGAAGTTATCCTTGCTTATTGCATAAGTTGGCGTGCTTAGATGGATGATGAATTTTAACCTGGAATTTTATTGTTTGTATCACAATTTGGTGACTAGATCATGTTTCCAAGTTGTTTTTCCCTTTTCTCCTTGTACCTAGTTTTCTGTATTTTTGTATGATGTTGCATCTGGCTTCATGGAGACACCTTTTTCCTTGTTTTATGTTATTCTGAAATTGGCTATTTTTATAAGTTGGTGTTGCTTTCAACTGGAACTCTATTGTTTCCGTCACTGATATTGTTGCCTTTGAGGTTGCCTCTTTAGCCCGTACAATTTGGCGACAAGAGTATGGTTCTGGTTTTGTTTTACCTTCGGTTTATTTTACTTATTTCTGCTGTAGATTTGGGTTATTCGAACTTGGCTCCATTGAGATTACTTTTTCCTTGTTACGGCATTAAGTTTTTGTGCTTTAATTGTTCTCGGATTTGTTAATTGATCTCATGAGAGTTTCTGTAAATCTGGGATCTCAGTAGTTTACTTCACGGGGTCGAGTGTGTTTTCAGCTGGGTTCTATAACTTAAAAGAAGGTATATTCTTATGTAGAAGAAATTTTCAAAATTGCCTCAGCGGAATTTTTTTTAAAGAAACTGACATTTCACTTTTAATTATAGAAATCGACACACTTTGAGTTAATTGTGATACTAATTAAGTCGTGATTACCAACACTGATTAATTAGTAGTCTAATTAGCAATCGCAAATCTTTGATTCCGCCCTTTGATCCCGCTTGTAATTAGGCTATTAATTAGTTGGGGTTGACAACCCCGACTAAATAGTATCGTAATTAACTAAAAGTGAGTTGATTTCTTTAAAAAAATTCTGTTGATGCGATTTTGAAAATTTCTTCTTCTTATGCAACGTGGAAGACCGAAATAGGGGAGATATAGAAATATATTAGATCTTTTATGATATGGTCGAAAAATAACAAACAATAGCTGAGCATATTTTACTCATGACTAACAAATGGGGTATCAAACTGAAAATGAAACATTCATTAAGAGCTGTCGAATTGCAATGCATTACTTGAATTTTATTTTATTATTGACGGTAATTTGGTTATGGGCTTTGAGAGCGATATATATATCCGTCGGTCGACAATCTAAACCAGTAAACCCACATCCAACTAGGGGTGTATATAGGCTGGGCCTAACCCATAAATCGGCCTACTGGTTTTGGGCTCAGGCCTGTTCAGACTCGGGGTTAGGCCAGTTTGGAAGGTCGGGCCGAAAAACATTGTCCATGCGTCCAGGCTAGACCTAGCCCCACTCACGTCCCTCATGACGCCATATTTGACTCGACCCACGGCGGTTCGGGTATTTTTTTTTTTCTTTTCAATTTTTCCTTTTCAATTTTTTCTTTTCAAATTTTTTGATAGATCAATATATATAGTTTTAAAAGAGAAAAAAAAAATTATTTTATCTTTATTAAAACTCTAAACCTAATAAATTTACAATTGGTTATGAAATTATCACAAAATATAAAAAATTTATAATAATTTGAGTATTTTTAATAAATTAAAATGATTGCAAATATTCATCAAAATTATGGAAGCAAGACAGTCCGGAGACAATGCCAAGGATAAAAAACCTTTTGCAAGACTTAGAAGACCCCAACATCGGGGCAAGAATTTTCAACGCTAGCAGCAGAGACTAGGACACTGTCAGCAGAAGAACCGTGGTCAGGGTCAGCAGTCGCAGGGTCACTGTTACGGCAAGCAGCAGATAATTGAGACACCACCAACTGTTTCGAGAATTAAAGGGCTGGTAGGCCAGATTCGTTCCATTCAGGAGATTCCTGAGGGATAAATAGTCTCGTATTTCCACCGCCAGCAGTTCAACAGTCGACAGCCACAAGCAGAGTCTATACAATCGTACCACTTTATCACGGTGCGAGCAGAGCTATAGTAGAAGGTACTTGCTTAGTGAACTCTTTTCCAGCTCGAATCATGTTCGATTCCGGAACTTCCCATTCTTTTATATATCATGCCTTTATGGATAGGCTTCAGTTAGTCGCACATCCCTTAGATGTACCGTCATCCGTTTCTACTCCTTTAGGCGAGGTATCTCTATTAGGGAGCGTCTGTAGGAGATGTGTCATCAGCTTAGATAAGTCTAAGTTTATTGTAGATCTAATCGTTTCGTGGATGTCGGGTTTTAACGTTATTCTTGGTATGGATTAGTTATCATCCTACCATGTTAGCATCGACGGTTTTGTGAAAACAGCCTGTTTGCGAGCGTCCGATGGGTCTGAGTTGATTGTAACGACCTCACAGGGCAACCAGTTTGCGAAGTCATTTCTGATATATATTGAGGAGATGATCCTGAGAGATCGGAGTGCTGAGTTGTGTGAGACTAGAGTCGTCTCGGATTTTTAGGATGTCTTTCAGGACATATCGGGGTTACCTCCTATATGAGAGGTTGAGTTCTGCATCGAGTTGCAGCCAGACACAACACTGATATCTCGAACTCTCTATCATATGATACCTGCTGAGATGAGGGAGCTACAGACTCAGCTGGATGAGTTGTTGTCTCAGGGTTTATTCGTCGGAGTCATTCTCCGTGAGGACCGCCGGTCCTTTTCGTGAAGAAGAAGGACGGCAATATGCGTCTTTGTATAGATTATCGGGAGTTGAATAAAGTCACTATCCGGAACATGTATCCATTACTGAGGATTAATGACTTGTTCGACCAGCTGTAGGGAGCGCAACACTTCTCAAAGATTGATCTTCGTTCTGGCTATCATCAGTTGTGGGTTCGGGAGATACATATTCCCAAGACCGTTTTTCTGACTCGTTATGGGTCCTTCGAGTTTCTTGTCATGTCGTTTGGGCTGACCAATGCACCCGCAATATTTATGGACTTGATGAACCGGGTTTTACGTCCATATTTGGACCAGTTCGTGATAGTATTTATCGACGACATCCTTATATATTCGAGATCGGAGGCAGAGCACAAGCATCATCTTTGATTAGCATTACAGATTTTACGGGTGTATCAGCTATATGTCAAATTCAGCAAGTGTGAGTTTTGGCTATCTGAGATTAGATTTCTGGGCCACGTCATCGGCATAGAAGACATTGTAGTGGATCCAGCTAATGTTGTGATCGTACTTGATTGGGAGCCGCCGCCGACAATCACAAAGATTCATAGCTTTTTGGGTTTGGCCGACTATTACAGGAAGTTCATTCAGGACTTCTTGAAGATAGCCACACTACTTACACGCCTTACAAAGAAGGGTGTACCTTTTGTTTGGGGCACGGAGTGCCATGATGCATTTGAGACTTTGAAGGCTAAGTTAACTACAACACCAGTTTTGACCATTCCAAGCAATGATAAGACATTTATCGTCTACACGGATACGTCGTTAATGGGTCTAGGAGGTGTTTTGATGCAGACTCGGAGAGTGGTAGTATATATTTCGTGTCAGTTGAGGACGCATGAGCCAAATTATCCCACACGTGACTTGGAACTAGCTGCGGTAGTTTTTGCACTGAAGACATGGAGACATTACCTATATGGAGTGCAGTTCGAGCTATTCACGGATCATCAGAGTTTGAAGTATCTCTTCTCTCAGAAAGAGCTAAATCAAAGACAGCAAAGATGGGTTGAATTTATTAAGGATTACGAGTTCGTGATTCAGTACTACCCGGAGAAGGCGAACGTCGTAACAGACGCTTTGAGTAGGAAGCGTCGTCATCGGATTTCGGCTTTGAGGTGTTCATTGTATCGAGATCTCTACACACTTAATCAGTTCGACTTTAGACCAGAGATAGGCAGGAATAACATATTTTTTGGAGCTTTGTCCGTGCAACCATCTTGAAGTGATAGAGTGGTTAGAGCTCAGCTAGATGACACTTGGATTTAAACCCGAAAGGGAGATTTCTAAAGAGCCCAAGGCTGATTGGACCATTGAAGCAGATAGAGGACTTTGAATAAAAGGTGGACTAGTGATGCCAGGAAATCCACAACTGAAGATAAAACTTATTCAATGAGGCGCATCATACTAGGTACATAGTGCATCCAAGCACAATGAAAATGTACAAGGACCTGAATAGACTTTTGGTGGAGCGGCATATGTAGTGAGATTACGGAGTATATGGTAAGTGTTTTACCTGCCAGCAGGTGAAGGCAGAACATCAGAGGCCAGTAGGAACCCTACAGCCTTTACTCATTCCGGAGAGAAAATGGGCAGATATTTCTATGAACTTTATTATAGGATTACCGAGATCGAAGAAGAGGAACGATTCAGTTTAGGTAATAGTGGATCGATTGACGAAGTCAGCACATTTTTGGAGAAGCTTCCAGAACTCTTTCGGTAGCCAGTTATCTTAATCTAGTGTATTTCACCCGCAGACGGATGGACAGACGGAGAGAGTGAACCAGATATTAGAGGACATGTTGAGGGCGTGCGTTATTGATTTTCAGGGTAGTTAGGAGGAGCACATCCTATTGATTGAGTTTGCCTATAATAAGCTATCAAGGGATTATTAGCATGACACCATATGAAGCATTGTATAGGAGGTCTTGCAGATCACCTATTTGTTGGGCAGAACCAGAAGACAGTTTATTGCTTGGATTGGAGATTGTTAGACAGACTACGGAGAAGGTAGCAGTTATTCGAGAGCGTATTCTTGCAGCGCAAAGTCGTCAGAAAAGTTATGCAGACCGGAGACGACAACCATTAGAATTCCAGGTTGGGGATTATGTTTTGTTAAAAGTATCACCATGAAGGGTGTACAACATTTTGGTAGACGGGGTAAGATTGCCCCGAGGTACATTGGTCCGTTCTCGATGTCGAACATACACGATGTTTTCCATGTTTCTATGCTTAAGAAGCATCTATGCGATCAGGAGGAGAAGCGAATGTTGGACACACCGGAGATCGATATTCACGATGATTTGACTATGATTGAGATTCCAGTATGCATTCTTGCCAAGGAGGATAAGAAGCTTAGAAATAAGGTGATATCCTTAGTTAAAGTTCAGTGGAACCGAAGAGGAACTGAGGAGACTTCATGGAACGCGAGGAGGATATGCGTCGCGACTACCCACATATGTTTGAACATGTAAATTAAAATTTTAGTATGATTTTTTTATGATTTATGGTTATCTGTATGGTCATGTTTATACCTAACGCTAGAATGATGATACTAGCACTTAGCTCCTAAGTATTCGGAACACACGGTATATATAT